CGTATCCTTCAATTTATCTGCATCACAGCGGGTGTTCCCTCCTTTTCGGAACGTCCCTTCAGTTGTTGCCAGACGAAGGCGAAGCTTCACGACTAACACACTATGGTCTGTCGATTGGTCTACGCCGAGTCGGTGCCGGCCGTTTCGGCGCCGATCGATAGTCGTTATCAATGTGCAATCCTCTGGCGTCAGTTTGAATATACATGATTGAACTGTAGTCGCCTCGATTGACTGTAATATTCAACGCACCATGTAACATATCCATGAGAAGCTCTCAGTGAGTACAACGTGAAACTTCTGTCTGACTAAGAATGATGTCATATATAATATATGAAATTTTGCTATATGAATAAAATTACTTTATATATCAGCTCCTTGTTCTTCCGTACAAATTAGACTTTTAACTAAATCATATTAACACTTAAAAATTATTTAAAATAACTGGACAACGCAACGAATAAAAATGCTCTCGCACGTTGTAACGTGGAATCATATGAAACAGAAATATTGGTAATTCATAAATTCGACAATGGATTCGTACTGTGCTCTCAGTGAGTTTTCCATTGATATGCGAAATGATAGTATAATTCGCAGAGGCCATCAAGTTAAGCATAACGAAATTGTATGACTCAAAATTAATGAACTCGCTTAAAAACCCACCGTCATAAAACAAGCTGTTATTCGTTAATTTGAAAGATGTTTACTATTGTATTCACTGAAAAATATTCATTAATATGTAAATAATGAACATCTGCTGATAGACAGTCAAACTTGCGATAAAATCTAAGAAATTCAATAGTTCGACAAAAGTTTCACATTGTGCTCAAGGAGAGCTTCTCATGGATTTGTGGCAGGTGGTGGGTTGGATATTACAGCTGGTCGAGATGACACAGTCCAGTCATATACTGTATACGCCAACTCGCGCCAGAGCACTGCGTGTTTGAAACTGTCGATCGGCGCTGAAACGGCTGCGTCGAATCGTCCCGCCCCATTCTGCTGATGACAGGGTTAGTGGGACAAAATTTTCTCATTACGCGTTGCTGATGATGAACGAATCAACTCTCGAATACTCGCATTAGCAAGCGCAAGCTGGGTTCTGTCAGAGTTGAAAAAGTACATGTGATGCTCCAAGTCATGATGATCGCCTTGAAATGTTTGCGTAAGAGGCAAGTCGTTTGTTATGACCGCTGCATCCGCAGCTTTTCAACACGTTTGCTATAAGGCACGCATCGGTTACTGTCTATGGAGGAAATAGTTCCTCTAAGAAAACAACTCTGTCTTTACCATGCTCATTGTATGACGGTTCCCTGGTTTACGTCCGCGGTGTTCTGGCTCCCATACGAGAAGTTCATAGTTTGGAGTAATGGGTTTTCCCTTAACTAGATTGTCCATCAGGTCAAACCTCCCTTTTAATCTTCACATCTACGGATTTCCCCAGTGCCCGAAAGAAAAAGTCATTCCTTATATGGTTCTACCATCTAGCCCTCATTCTGCGTGAAGACCAAAGGTACAGTAAGCCATTTAGCCATCACTCTTGGTTCTTCGTTAGAACAACTGTCTCCATGCCGTACAACAACACCGACTTGACCTAGGCAAGCTATAGGCAGATTTATGTGGTAAAAGTCAAGTACTGGTCAAGTTACCTGATCAATTAAGGCTAAGGCGGTCTTCCAATTTAACTTTCATTAGATAATGCTAGCGCTGGAGATGATGGAAGGGAGGTACTTGAAATGGGGAACTTTCTGAAACGTTTCTCTCCCTGTTTCATTTGCGCATAAGTGGTGCCGGATAGATTCCCCACAAATTTGACTTCTGGGCTTTAAGATAGAGACCGCCTTACGTAAGGCGTCAAGTGACAGAGATGATGCTCGCAGTACTCACAAGAAGAATATCATCGGCATGCTCTAAGTCAGTAGGATGTCTAACCGGGTATTGAACTGCACCTTTCTCGCTAGAATGAGACCTTCCTCTCTGCCAGACTCAACACCTCAAGAAATTCAGGATGACTGTAGCAGGCCTTGCTAACAGTGGTGCTCCCGTGGGCTGATCATGACAGCGGCTGATAGGAAAAAAGCCAGTGAGAAATTAGCCGGCGGGAAATGCGCTGGTTGTGAACATGGGTTGGCTATAGCGCTCGAAAAACAGGTTAACAGTGCCTGATTTTGCTGGAAGGAAGTTTTGTCGTGGATTTGGCTCGTGTCATCGACTTGTATTCATAATGAAAAACGTTTGTTCGATCGGGAAGTGGTGCAACTCATCCCCAAATACAGACCAAGCTCCAGGTAGTTAATGTGATGGACCGTCAGACAACTCTGACTAGTATAGGCGAAAACTCATTTACTGGCAAACTCTAGGTTAAGAGCGAATTACTCAGATAGCTCTCGTTTGATTTGAGCAGTAGACACTTTTTACACACATCTTTCGAAACGGAAGTGGCGTGCTGGAGAATTACGTCGCATTTTTAAATTTTCCATATCGTTGGATCATGTATTGAGTCAAGTGCTGGCTAAAAGTCGCAGATGGAATCGTCGGCATTGCTCATCATCATATGATGAATTAAACTTTCGTCAGAGTAGGAGTGCCGCGTCGGGAAGCGGGCCTGATTTGGGCCAAGTCGCTGACTAATTGTTCGCCTCACTGTTTCCAGTATAGTGCCAGAAAAAAGTTTCCCGTGTATTGATAGTTAGAACATTCAATCACCTGCACCCTTAAAATATTGGTATAATTACTGCACAATTTCATAACGTTTTAAGTTCCAAATCGGATAAAATTTGGCTAGAGCCTTTTTAGAATTGCCGTTCTTCCATATTTAATTAATTTCCTGGGTCTCAATCTATATCACAGGCCTTCTTCACCTAACGGCGTGGCAAGGTCTTGTGAATAGCCAATTCTGTTAGTGGATGCACACTAACGAACATCTAGTGTTGGCAGAAGATTAACGGTTGGTATGTGCAAATTCTTAGGAAGTGATGAGCTGCTGCTGAAAATACACAGCACTATTTTTAAGGTCGTTCCTTTTGATCTAGTAGTAAAACGTTCTTGATGTCTTGAATGAACTTGAATGGAGTTCCTACGTACCGGCAAATTGCAACGTTCCATTGAACGATATTCATTTTTCATTTCATTTTCTTGGTTAGTTTATCGATCTTCCTGAGTTGACTTTTCGTTGCATGTTCCTTGCTTCGCCTGCATCTGCGGTTGCCTTCGAAGTGCCATAGGGTTTTTAGTCAGGTTCTACTGCACGCTAAGGTGTATGGTGCTTCTGGAAGTTCAGCTATCCTCCTCTTGACCTCAAATACGTTTCCTCACCGAAGAAGTGACAAATATTTTAAGGATTTTTAAGCTTCACCGCTGTTATTACTTTCTACTGAACACGAATGCTCATGAAAATGGCTCTACCACCTACTGGTCGGCCGAACGGATCGGTTCGTCCTATTTTAATCTGTCAACATCAAGAAGGCGATGTGTTTCGACCAGGTAACGTCGATGTAGCGCAGCAAATGTTAAGCCATATTCGGCTACGGTCGCATCTGATTCGTCTACGCGTCACGTCTGAAACGAGTAGCGAATAACTCGCTGCCCCTTTTGCGGCTGTTGAGCACGTAGTCCAGCTGAGATTTTCAGCTTCCATCCACGGATGTGCAAATGAGGTGCATGACTCATTGGCAGTGAAAATTTTTACTTTTCACATTTTCTATCAAACCCTTGAACAGGATACAAATGAAAACATACGCTCAACTGGCCGATTCTCATAGTAAATTGGTTGATCTTCCTACCGTCCCTGCGAAGCAGTTATGTACCGTATCCGACACAACCTGACCTGTGCTGCAGCAACGGTAGCGGCTTGAGAACCAAATAGCGGCGGTCACAAATCGTGTGATGCTCGGTTAAAAACGGCGTGAGAGAATCGGTTTATTTCGGAACGAACCGTGTACGGAAACGCAACTGTTCAGCGGCGAGCTTGCGGCCTAATTCTGGCCAGTACGAAATTCCTTCCGCAAACAACAACCAACCTCTAACTAACAGCCTCGTCGCTAACCGACCGGTCTGCTGGCGGCGCGCAGACCCGCGGGTCAAATGCATGCGTGTGCTTCAGACGGTGCACTGTAGTCTGATTGGCTGTTTGCAGTCATTTTTAGATTTACTTGCACTGGCAGCGTACTACTCACATTACTTTCAACGAGAGCTGCGCTTCGGCCGTTGCCGCGTCCGGTGATGTTCAGGCGAAGAGTACGATCGTCATGGCGATCTGTGCCGGCCAGACCGGTGCTTTATGTCTCGAAGTAGGCAGTTAGTGTGTTTCTTGTTTTCAGTTTGCTTCATTGCACGCAGCCTGCAACCGGGCAGCAGGCAGCCTGCAGCAGACTGCGTTCCGAACCAGTCGAGTTTTAAGCCGAGCACCGCGACGAGTAAATGGGTGTAAAAGCGCGTGTTTGCGAAAGTGCAAATGTGTTAGAGTTTGTTACCGCGCCGCATGCCACTGCTCACACGAGAAAAAACGCAGGCGCGCCGACGACCGTCATTTCTTCATTATCTACCAAGTGAGTGCACGACGAAAAAATGCTGCTGCATATTAATTCCAGTGCTCGGCCGACTGACCAACTCGAAACACTCAAACGCCCAAAGAAGCCAGAACCCAGATTCGCAGCTGGCTGTAAAACAGTTTCGAACGTGGCTGCGCGGTCAGTGCAAGTCGTTGTGGCTATGGCGAGCGTTGAATGAGCTGCAAGCCGAATGTGCTCATCGTCAAACGGCAGGACGATGGCGCCTGTCGGTCGGTTGGCCGGTCAAACGGCACAGCTTTCAACTTTTTCCTCTTGCTCCGTCCGTGCACTCAAGTTCGATGCAGCTCGCCGCTTGTCCGTCAGTGTAGCAGCAAATTGATCACGCAACTCGCTGGGTGTTCGCGCGTGCCGATCATTAATTATGCGATGAATCCGATCCCGATCCGCACAGCGCTCCGCGCCAACCACGGCACTGATCATGCATGCATATGGCCTGCGGCAGACAGTATGTTAAGTTAGCTACTTTCTTCGAACGTGTGATCGCACCGCCTGCGCTGCATCAGCATAAACCGACGGAGGAAGGAGGACGAGAGACGACGGACGGACGGCCGAAGGCCGACGATTGGTGAAGCGGCAGTGACGCTGCCTCGCTTCGCCGTACGTCTACGTTCATTCATGCTCCTGCGGAGCAGTCGACGCAACGTCCGTCATCGCTCTGACCGAAGCGATACGTAAGCCCGCTAATTTCAGTAATTTCAGTAGTAGCTGTAGCTGCACGCTTGCGACACTTGCTGCGCTCACAAAAAGTGGTTCTTGCCGGTACGGCCGCTTCCAGAACGAGGGAGCGGGCAGTGGCGAGTGGGCTGATGCGTGATGATGACGAATCCGCACTCGTTAAATGCTGTCGCCACTCACCACACACCAGAAGTTGTCAGCAGTGATGTGCGGCTGAGGGCAATGCACCACTGCGCCGTCGCGCACCGCGAATCGCGGATGAACTCACTTCCTCAATATCCGTGCCTCTACCGCTTGACTACGGTTTGTGCTACACCATCCCACGTGACAGACGGACAGCCAAGGCACACACGCACGGTGCTTGTTGCTTGAGAGTTAGTCACCGCGCTCGTCGCCGTACTGTATGAAACTTGTTTCTGTTAAGTAGGCCGGTCGCTAGGTCGGTTGCTTGGTTGATCGCTAGGTGGTCGGTGGTTTGGCTGGATTGTTCGTCGTCATTTTTG